AGCTCCTCCTGGGTCTCCTGGGGGGCGTCCCCGTCTCCGTGGGGCCGGGCTCGTTCCAGGAACTCGATCGGAGCGCGCCGCAGGACGGGTCAGTGGGGGTGGTGGGGTTAGACATCTCGGAAGCATGCGGAGGCAGGGCAAGGGGAAGGAGGGGGGAGGAAGAGGGACTCGGGAGAGGGCGGGGTCTCGAGCATTTTGGGAGGGTCTGGGGTGTTCAGGCATTCAGGGGATTTCCTGGAGAAGGGGGGTACTCCAAGTCCCTTATCAATCGTCCCCCGGGTCCTGTTTTTTGAGGCGCCTTTTTTTGTATCTGGGGGGGTCCGGTTTATTGGGACGCTTTCTTCGGATTGGAGCTCAGGGGGGTCAGTTTATCAAGGCGCCCCGTCGAAGAGGGGGATCCGGAATATTGGGTCGCATTTGGAGGGCGTCCGGCTTTTTTTTGGGGGGTCGATTGATAAGGGATTTGGGGTACTAGGTCACCCGCGGGGGCGCGAGGAGAATCGCGCTTCGCGCGTCGCGGCCTGGATCAGAGCGTGTGCCCTTCGCCGCCAAGGGGGCGGCACGAGGGCGCGAGGGCGCGGCGAGGACCGCGCGTCGCGCGAGGCGCGAAGCTGGATGACCAAGGGGATGAGGAGGAGGAGGAGGAGGAGGAGGAGGTGGAGCAGGAGGAGGAGGAGGACGAGGAGGAGGAGGAGGAGGACGAGGAGGAGGAAGACGAGGAGGAGGACGAGGAGGAGTTGGAGGTGGAGGAGGAGGAGGAAGAGGAGGAGAAAGCGGTGGTTGGGGAGTACGGGAACGAGGACGTGGAGGGGGAGGACTTCACGAGGTTGTATAGGTGGTTGTTGAAACTTCCAGGTTGTTTTCGGTTCTGGTGGGACTTGCAGAAGAAATAGCTTTGGGCCGCCTTCCCGCTAGTAGGCCCAGGAGGAAGAGGTGGGGGAGGTGGCAGGTGTAAGATGAGATGATAATCACCTCGAACCGCCAGAGCCTTTTACCTCCGTCTATATCGCCCTCTCAGGCCCACCTACCAGTCCTTCCTCTTACTCTCTCCTCCGTTCTCGATCGATGACGGCGCGCAGCGGCTGCGGTGTAGCTGACACGGGACAGGACGAGGAAGATCAGGAGGAGGAGGAGGAGGAAGAGAAGGGGGAGGAGGAGGAGGATAACCAGGGTAGACCCAAGAGTCATTAACGATGTTGTAATGTACCCTTCCTCCAAGCTCCCTCTTCATAGGCCCCTACAGCGGTTCATTTCCACTGAGGGAAATGCCACGTTGGAAGACGAGCGTTTGAAGACCCTGAAGCATGCCATAACATTGTTCTCGGGATTCCAACGCCACGGATCAACTTGACCTTCGCGTCTTGACGATCCTGAGTCGTGCCAGAACGCCATTCCTGAGATTTCAACACCGCGAATCACCTAATTGTTGCATCTCCAATTGTTGCTAGGCTGTTCACAGGAATCCGTGAAACCGTTGCAAACTGCACATTCTTACACGAATGTGCGCGGCGCTAAGGCGAGAGCCACATTATGAAAAGGGACCGCTCTCAATCTGTGAAGCTCTTGCACATTGCTCAAACGAGTGTGCGCGGCGCTGAGGCGATAGCCACACTTTGAGAACGGCCCGCCCTCATTCCGTGAAGCTCTTGCAAATGTTTGAAGCGAATGTGCGCGGCGCCATTGCGAGAGCCACATGTTGAAAACGGCCCGCCCTGAATCCGTGAAATTCTTACACATGTGTAAAACGAATGTGCGGGGCGCTAAGGCGAGAGCCACATTTGGAAAACCACCCGCCCTCAATCCGTGAAACCCTGGCATTTTTTAATCGAATGTGTGCGGCGCTGAAGCGAGAGCCACATGTTGAAAACCGCCCGCCCTCGATGTGTGAACGGTTGCCATTGTTTAAGCTTCAAGGTAATAAGTGGGCAGGAAGTCTCAGGCGAAACGCCCGGCCCGCCCTACACGCGACAAGAAGAAGTTAGTTATAGTGAAATGTAGTGGAGGATCAGGACGAGGAGGAGGAGGAGGATCAGGAGGAGAAGGAGGGGGAGGAGGAGGGGGAGGAGGAGGAGGAGGAGGAGGAGGAGGAGGAGGAGGGAGAGGAGGGGGACGAGGAGGAGGATTAGGAGGCACATCAGGGGGAAGCGGAGGTTGGGGAGGATAAGAACGAGCAGGTGGAAGGGGAGGATTTCACGAGGTTCATACGTGGTTGTTGAAACTTCAGGTTGTTTTAGGTTCTTGGGGATTTGGAGAAGACGTATAGCTTTGGGACGCCTTCCCGCTAGTAGGCGCAGGAAGAAGGTGGAGGATGTGGCAGGTGTAAGATGAGAGTCCCCTCGAACCGCCAGAGCCTTCTACCTCCGTCTAAGTTTTCTCTCAAGCCCCCCATACCACAGTCCTTCCTCTGACTCCCTCCTCCGTTCTCGATCGATGACGGCGCGCAGCGGCGGTGCAGCTGACACGGGAGGGGACGAGGAAGAAGAGGAGGAGGAGGAGGAGGAGGAGGAGGAGGAGGAAGAGAGGGGGGAGGAGCAGGAGGAGGAGGAGGAGGAGGAGGAGGAGGAGGAGGAGGAGGAGGAGGAGGAGGAGGAGGAGGAGGAGGGAGGAGGAGGAGGAGGAGGAGGAGGAGGAGGAGGAGGAGGGGGGGGGACGCGCCGTCGCCCGCACCACGGTCATCAGCCCTGCCGGGGTGCCTCGGCCATCGGGGGAACGTCCGCCCTCCCGCCCATGCTGGCGGCCTGCCGTCGCGGGCCCCCTTGGCGAGCGGGGTCCCCAGCGGCCCGGCCCGCCTCGGTCGGGCCTCGAGGCCCCTGGATTCGGATGCAACTCCTTGGAGGTCAAATTCTGATTTTGTCCTGGTCCTGAATCCGGCTTGATCCAGCTTGATCCCGCTTAATCCAGCTGAATCCCGCTTAATCCCGCTTAATCAGGCTTAATCCTGCTTAGTCCGAGGCCCACTCCGGCGTAACAGCTCCCAACTGGGGCTTAATCTTCCTTAATCTTTCCGACGAAAACCTCCCAGTAGTTGCCTCCTAATCTGGAGGCCCAGGAGGCCCTGGGCGTCCCCCGACTCGCCTCCAGGCGCGCCCCCTGGAATGCATCCTGGCGCGTCGCGCGGCAAGTCCCTGGGCACGTCGCCCAGCTCCCCTTGGCTCCACCGGCGCGTCCCGCGAGGCATCTCTGGCACGTCCTCCTTGCTGGTCCCGCGGCGCGTCCTCCGGCGCTTGCCCTGGTTCTCCCCAGACGCGTCCCTGTGCACGCCCCCCGGAACGTCTCCTGTCGCCTCCCCTGCCGCGCTCCGTGCCGCATCGCCTGGCATGACGTCCCTTGGCATGCCGCTCGGAACTTTCCCTCCCCTGTCCGTGGCACGTCCTCTTGCGCGTCCCGTGGCACGGCCCTGGAACGGCCCGTGCCGTGGCGCTCCAGCTGGAGGCTCTGGCCCTCTAGCGACGCGCCGCTGGGAGAGCCGCTCCTCGCCGCGCTGGGCCGAGGCGCCCTGGTGCCCCGGGCTCCCTGCAGCCGTGGCGGCAGTGCCTCGGGGGCGGCCAAGAGGGGGGTGATGACTAGGATTAAGTCGGGCTTGTTCCTTTACATGAGGAGTATTCAACAGTAGTTAAAACATATCCCAGTGCGACCCTACCTAGGAGTTGGAGCCCCTAGGAGAGCAGCATAAGCTAAGCTGAGCTAAGCTAAGCAAAGCTAAGCTAAGCTAAGATAGCTACGCTAAGCTAAGCTAAGCTAAGCTAAGCTAAGCTAAGCTAAGATGAGACAGGCTAAGCTAAGCTAAGCTAAGATAAGCTAAGGCAAACGAAGTTAGGCTAGGGCAGGCTAAGCTAAGCTAAGCGAATCTAAGCTCAGATGACACAAGCTAAGCTAAGCTAAGCTAAGCTAAGCTAATATAAGTTAAGTTAAGGTAAGCTAAGCTAAGCTAAACAAGGCCAGTTTAATATCAGGCAAGCTAAGCTAAGCGAAGATGATATAAGCTAAGCTAAGCTAAGCTAAGCTAGGCTAAGCTAGGCTAAGCTAAGCTAAGCTAACATGAGATAAGCTAAGCTAAGCTAAGCTGAGCTAAGCTAAGCTATGCTAAGCTAAGCCAAGCTAAGACGAGATAAGCAAAGCTAAGCTAAGGGGGCGCAACTGGGGGAACCGCGGGGCGGATACTTGGGGAACCGCGGGGCGGATACTGGGGGAACCGCCCGGGGCGGGTTACACTGCCCGGCCCTTTAAGCCTCCGAGTAAGAACCCTTCTAGGCAGAGCCTAGGTAGGGAATACTCAAGTGACGTTTGTTCGATGATTTTTGAGCATGGTTTTAATATTTTGGGGTGTTAAAAACAAATCAAATTCGCGAGGGTGTTAAAAACAAATCAAATTCGCCCTGCAGGGGGACACGCCCGACCTAAGACTAGGGGGGGGGGTATCGTGGCGGGGGCCACGAGGTTTCCACAGACTTCATGGCGCCTTTTCTTGTTTCGATGCGTCCCCAGCCCCCCCCCCCCCTGGGCCGCGCACGTGCCGACGGCCATGATTGGCGCCCCCCCTCTTGGACGCCCCCCTCTTGGTCGCCCCCGAGTGCCGCTGCCCTCCTGCCGCACGAGGGCCCGAAGGCGCCGCGCGCCGCGCGGCCCCAGCGGCGGCGGGGGGGGGGACGCGACGGCCGCAGAGCGGGCGGGGGGTCTTTCCTTGCGCCCCCGCCCCCCCCCTTCCTTTGCGTCCCTCCCCGCCTCCCCCCTTCTCTGCGGGCAATTCTTATATCCACATCCAGTGCGTCTTGGACTTTCTTGGGGAGGGGCGCCGCAAGACCGAGGCGCACCGGATGTGGACAAGAAGGTACTCGGACCGTTACCCTTCGCCCGTTTTTCCCTTTGTTGGGCCTCGTGGGAGGCCCTCGTCGCCACCGCTGGATTCGCCTCGAGATACTGGTCAGAGCGCATCCCGGGAGAGGTCCGAGGAGCGGCGGCATCGGTACCTTTTGATTCCCCCATGGGGGGGTGACCGGCAGGCACGGCGCTGCTGGCTGCGGAAGCAGCTCGAGGAGTGGCGGGAGCAGGGGGCGACCGGGGCCGCCCCGCCTGGGCCCGGGCCCGGCTGCGCGCCGCATCGTTCGGGCGTGCGTGTTGTTTCTCGCAGGGGAACGTCGGGGACCGCCTGGATCCTCTCGCGGAGAACAGCACGCACGACGCCGAACAAAATTGTACGGGGATTGGATGTCCTCGGGCCTTCCAAGGGCCCCGGGGGCCGTCGGGAGTTGAAGAAGAAAAAACACCTCCAGCGCCGCCTCTGGCGAGCTCCGCGCGCCAGGGAGGAGGGGGGGTCAGATCCAAGACACTTTCGCGGACCGTCGATAGTTTCTGTTTATGCCATTTTGTATCGTGCAAGAACACGACTTGGGGCGGAAGGCCGCGGACCCTGGGACAGCTTGCTTCCACCTGGACCCCTCTCCTCGCAGGCGATTTTTCTCCCCCAATCCCCGAGTTCCGCCCGCAAGGTGTGGCCGCTCAGAGAAAGGGGGAGGCGCTGGGGTACACACGCAGGGGCTCTTCTCGGACGCATCCCTGTCGAGGATAGACGCCCCACTTCGTACATCCCGGGGTTGGGCCCCAAACTTCTGGTCCAGTCGAAAGCCCCCGAAAGTCGGGGATTGGGGTCGCTATCCCCCCTCTCTCTTCCCCCCTCCCGAAGAGGAGGGCGGGGTCGGGCCCCGAGGCGTCGCGACCAGCGTTTCTGTCTGCCCCCTCTCGGGTCTCACGTGGAGCCGCCGTGGCCACGGCCCGAACAACGCCGCAGGCCGCAGTGCCCGCGGAGCTGCCTCCTCTCATCGAGACTAACAGAGCCCCTAACCCTACTAGCACGACGAAGACGTAGCGGGATTATAGTCAATTCGGGATGGTGCGAGTGGCTTATAGTCAATTCGGGATGATACGAGTGGTTCGGTTTGATACATCTGCAGAAAAAGGCCCCCATCCCAATGTTTTGGGCGTGTTGACTTGGGTCCCGTCGTCGTCGTCGCCGCCGCCGTCGCCGCCGTCGTCGTCGTCGTCGTCGTCGTCGTCGTCGTCGTCGTCGTGCTCCTCCTCCTCCTCCTCCTCATTCTCGTCCTCCTCGTCCTCCTGCTCCTCCTCCTGTGTGTCGCTAGGGTCCGTAGCCATTTTGGCTCAAGTGGGCTCAAGCTCGAGGCAGGTTCCATCCAGGACTCATCGAAGAGATAAAAGCGAGCAGAGGGCATGTCTGGGGCGCCGGAGAAGAAGCAGAAGGTCGGGGGCGCCGGCTTGGACTGGGGCGGCCTCTTCTTCTCGCAGCACGACACTTACTGCTTTGTCAAGTACACATGGAAGGACGGCGAGTGGGACAAAGGAGAATTGCAGTCCGACTTCCACATGAAGCTCCACGTGATGGCAAACGTTTTGCACTACGGCCAGGCTGTTTTCGAAGGGCAGAAGATCTTTCACTGTAAGGACGGCAAGGTGGTTGTTTTCAACGACAAGGCCAACTACGACAGGCTCATGCGTGGCTGCTCGCGTCTGGGCATGCCGGCGATGCCGCAGGCGATGTTCCACGAGGCCATCGACAGGGCCGTCATCGCGAACCTGGACTTCGTGCCGCCGTACGGCAGCAACGGTGCCCTGTACGCCCGCCCCGTCTTCTTCGGCAGCGGGCCGCAGCTGGGCCTGGGGCCGAGCAACGAGTTCACGTTCGCGGTCGTCGTTGCCCCCGTCGGCTCGTACTACAAGACCGCTGGCCTCACGCCGATCCCGTGCAAGGTCATCGACGAGTACGACCGCGCTGCCCCAGCCGGAGTCGGCGCCATCAAGTGCGCCGGCAACTACGCTGCGGACATCGTGCCCTCCAAGGAGGCCAAGGCCGCGGGCTTTCCCATCGGGCTGTACCTGGACGCCAAGGAGCACAAGTACATCGAGGAGTTCAACACCTCGAACTTCGTCGCCATTACAGCGGATGGCAAGTACCTGACCCCAGACTCGCACTCCGTGCTGGGGTCGGTCACGAACATGTGCCTCGAGCAGCTGGCGAAAGACATCGGCCTCACCGTGGAGCGGCGCAGGATCGATTTCGACGCGGAGGTCAGCACCTTCAAGGAAGTCGGGGCAGTAGGCACGGCTGTGATCATCACCCCGATTGCCACCATCACGAGGGGCGAGAAGGTGCACACCTTCGGCGCCCCCGAGACCCTGCAGAAGCTCCACGACCTCGTGCGCGCCGTGCAGGTCAAGGACGTGGAAGACAAGCACGGCTGGCTGCGGGAGATTGCCGTGCCCGCGTAGGGCGCAGGAGCGTAGGGGTAGGACGGGCCGTTGCGCGGCACCCGTTAGGTGCAGAACCTTACAGCGCGGACCACAAGCTCCTGTGTGTCGCTAGGGACTCGAGGGCGCAAACCAAAGATCTTCCCCATGGTTTGAAGGGTTGCAATGTTTTCGCTGCGCCAGGCTGCCGACGCTCTGAGACTGGCCAGGATGGATCCCGGAAGGGGTTCCAGGGACACGTTTCGGACGGGGATTGGCTCGGGGCGGGGCGAGGAGGGTGGCCCAGAGAGGCACCCCGTCTCTGGAGCGCCCTCCTGCCTTCTCAGATGTCTTCTCGTAGAAGCCTTTGGACAGGTGGCCGATCCTCCCAAGAGGCCCCCCCATGCTTCCTCGGGACGCGTTTTTTTGCGGGGCTTTGCTCGGCGCTGAACTGGCGCAGGTGCTAAACCTGCTCCTGGTCTCGGCCCCCCCCCAAGATAACCCTGTAGAGGCACCCCGCCTCTCAAAGAACCCTCCTGCCTTCTCGGAGGCCCTCTCTGGAGGCTCGGCTCCGTCGGCTCCTCAGAAGGCCTCTCAGAAGGCTTCTAAGAGGGCCTCGTCGGCTTCCGAGAAGGACCTCTTCCGAGGCTTCGTCGGCTCTTGAGAGGGACTCCAAGGGGGTTCTGACCCCTCGCGAGGGGTCAGAAGCCCTTCGAGGAGGGGGCCACGTCTTCCAAGAGGCACCCCCCCTGCCGCCTCGGAGGGCCGCCCCCCCCCGCCCCAACCCCCTCCCGCGTGCCGCCCGCCGGCCTCCCCCCCCCTCCTCCCCGTCCTCGCCGTCCTCCTGCTCGTGAGGCGCGACGGGCTAGCTCGGCTGCGTCTCCCGCGTCTCGGGCGGGCGGCGACAGGAGAGGGAGGAGGAGGAGCAGGAGGAGGAGCAGGAGGACGAGGAGGAGGAGGAGGAGGAGGAGGAGGAGGAGGAGGAGGAGGAGGAGGAAGAGGAGCAGACGTGGGGGGATCGAGGATCACAGCAGCGTGGCCCCGAATGGGGCCCTGCGCGGCTAGAACTGCCACCTCGGGCCCACGGTGTGTTCGAAAGGACCCCCCCGCCTCAGCCCCCTGGCTCAGCGCCCCCCGCAGGCCACTGGCTGAGCCGGGGCCAGGCCGATTTCTGATCTGGCCGGCCCGGCAGGCACAGCCTGGCACCCCACCATATCGGCGTCTGGCCGCCCAGCCGGCGACAGCGCCCGCCTGACGCCCCCTACCAAGGCAGGGGCATGCGACAGGTGCACGTTTCGCCACCCCACGCGAACAATCTCGAAGAACAAACAACGCCAGGGGCGGCGCGCCAGGGGCGGCGCCGGGGGCGGCGCCGGGTGCGGCCCAGCGCGGATCCAAGAAATCCAAAATCCGCGCGGAGCGCCAAAAGTTTATGTGTAAAAAGGCGCGCGTGGGAGCCCCGGCCGCCCCCCCCCCTCTCCAGCAACCGAGCAACCGAGCAACCCTCTCTGGGCGTTTCCTGGGGGCGCCAAGGATTTCCGAATAGGATTTCCTAGGAATTCTCTGGGCTTCCATCGGAATTCTATAGGCCTCCTTAGGAATTCTATAGGCCCCCATCGGAATTCTATACGCCTCCATAGGAAGTCTACAGGCCCCCATGGGAATTCTATAGGACTCCATAGGAATTCGATGGGTTCCCATAGGAATTCTATAGGCATCCATCGGAATTTTGTATCAGCCCCCTATTGAAATTCTACAGCCTCCATAGGAGTTCTATAGGCCTCTAGAGGAATTCCATATGAGCCCTCATAAAAAAATCCATAGCCCCCCATAGGAACTTTATCGGCCTCCATGGGAATTCTATAAGTATCCATAGGAATTCTATAGGCCGCCATACGAATTCCATCGGGCTCCATAGGAGTTCTATAGGCCTCCAAAGGAATTATTTAGGCACCCATACACACTCTATCGGCGTCCACAGGAATTCTATAGGCCCCCATAGGAATTCTATGGGCTTCCATGGGACTTTTATTTAGGCCTCCATCGGAAGTCTATAGCCCTCCATGCGAATTCTATATAGGCCTCCATCGGAATTCTATAGGCCTCCATTAGAACTCTATAGGCCCCCATAGGAATTCTATCGGCCTTCGTACGACTTCTATATGCCCCATCGGAATTCTATACGCCTCCATCGGAATGCTATAGGCCTCTAGCGAAATTCGATCGCCCTCGTACGACTTCTATATCGGCCTCCATCGGAGTTCTATACGCCTACATCGGTTCCTAAACAGTTTGTATCAAATCCGTGTAGGATCCTATACAGTTAGTATCGGATCTATATCGGATCCTATACATTCTGTATCGGATCTGTACAGGATCCCATACAGTCTGTATCGGATCTGTATAGGATCCTTTCCAGTCTGTATCGGATCTGTGTAGGATTCCATACAGCCTGTATCGGATCTCTACAGGATCCCATACAGTTTGTATCGGGTCTGTATAGGATCCCATACAGTTTGTACCGGATCTGTATAGGATCCGGTACGGTCTGTATCGGATCTCTACAGGATCCCATACAGTCCGTATCGGATCTGTATAGGACCCCATTACAGTCTGTATCGGATTTGTATAGGATCTCATACAATGTGTATCGGATTTTTATAGGATCCCATGCAGTCTGTCTTGGATTTCTAAAGGATCCCATACAGTCTGTCTCCGATCTGTATAGGAATGCCATACAAGCTGTATCGGATATGTATAGGATCCCATACAGTCTGTATCGGATGTCTACAGGATCCCATACAGTCTGTATCGGATCTCTACAGGATTCCATACAGTCAGTATCGGATCCCTACAGGGTCCCATACAGTCTGTATTGGATATCTGCAGGATTCCATGCAGTCTGTATCGGATCTGATACAGTCTGTATCGGATCTGTATAGGATCCCAGAAAGTCTGTATCGGATCTCTACAGGATCCCATACAGTCTGTATCGGATCCCTACAGGATCACATACAATCTGTATCGGATCTGTGTAGGATCCCATACAGTCTGTATCGGATCTCTGAAGGCTCCCATACAGTCTGTACTGGATATCTACAGGATCCCATGCAGTCTGTATCGGATCTGTAGAGGATCCCATACAGTGTGTACCGGATCTTTTTAGGATCCCATACAGTCAGTATCGGATCTCCACAGGATTCCATACAGTCAGTATCGGATCTCTACAGGATCCCATACAGTCTGTATCGGATCTCTACAGGACCCCATACAGTATGTATCGGATCTCTACAGGACCCCATACACTCTGTATCAGATCTGTACGGGATTCCGTACGGTCTGTATCGGATCTCTCCAGGATTCCATACAGCCTGTATCGGCTCTGTATCGGATTCCATACAGTCTGTATCGGATCTCTACAAGACCCCATACAGTCTGTATCGGATCTCTATAGGGCCCCATACAGCCTGTATCGGATCTCTACAGGATCCCATACAGTCTGTATCGGATCTGTATAGGATCCCATACAGTCCTGTATCGGATCTCTACAGGATCCCATACAGTCTGTATCGGATCTGTATAGGACCCCATACAGTCTGTATTGGATCTCTACAGGCTCCCATACAGTCTGTACCGGATATCTACAGGATCCTATACAAGCTGTATCGGGTCTGTACAGGATCCCATACAGTTTGTATCGGATCTGTATAGGATCTTGTACAGTTTGTATCGGATCTCTACAGGGTCCCATACAGTCTGTATCGGATCTCTACAGGATCCCATACAGTCAGTATCGGATCTCTACAGGATCCCATACAGTCTGTTGGATTTCTACAGGATTCCATACAGCCTGTATCGGATCTCTATTGGATCCCATACAGTTTTTATCGGATCTGTATAGGATTCCATACAGTCTGTACCGGATATGTACAGGATCCCATACAGTATGTATCAGATCTGTACGGGATTCCATACGGTCTGTATCGGATCTCTCCAGGATTCCATACAGCCTGTATCGGCTCTGTATCGGATCCCAAACAGTCTGTATCGGATCTCTACAACACCCCATACAGTCTGTATCGGATCTCTATAGGGCCCCATACAGCCTGTATCGGATCTCTACAGGATCCCGTACAGTCTGTATCGGATCTGTATAGGACCCCATACAGTCCTGTATCGGATCTCTACAGGATCCCATACAGTCTGTATCGGATCTGTATAGGATCCCCTACAGTCTGTCTTGGATCTCTACAGGCTCCCATACAGTCTGTACCGGATATCTACAGGATCCTATACAAGCTGTATCGGGTCTGTACAGGATCCCATACAGTTTGTATCGGATCTGTATAGGATCCTGTACAGTTTGTATCGGATCTCTACAGGGTCCCATACAGTCTGTATCGGATCTCTACAGGATCCCATACAGTCAGTATCGGATCTCTACAGGATCCCATACAGTCTGTTGGATCTCTACAGGATTCCATACAGCCTGTATCGGATCTCTATTGGATCCCATACAGTCTGTATCGGATCTGTATAGGATTCCATACAGTCTGTATCGGATCTCTACAGGACCCCATACAGTCTGTATCGGACATGTATAGGATCCCATACGGTCTGTATCGGATCTCTACAGGATCCCATACAGTCTGTATCGGATCTTTATAGGATCCCATACAGTCTGTATCGGATCCCTACAGGATCCCATACAATCTGTACCGGATCTCTAAAGGATCCCATACAGTCTGTATCGGATCTGTATTGAAGCGGCGGCACACTGGCGCGCATACGTATTTCACCCATAGGGCCACGTCAAGGTCGGTAAGAGAGTCCAAGGGAGTTTCAGGATTTTTTTAAAAGAAAAATCCTTGTTTGGTTGCTTGTTGCTGTTGCTGTTGCTGGGGGGGGGGGGGGGGCAGAATGCGTCCACGGGGCTCTGAGCGCAGCCTTGGCAATGAGGCGAGGGCGGGTCCAGACGGCTAGAGCTCACGGGGCTCTCACGCGCGCCTTTCCTTGTTGTTGTTGTTGTTGCTGTTGTTGCTGTGGTTGTTGTTATTATTATTGTTGTTGTTGTTGTCGTCGTTGTTGTTGTTGTTGTTGTTGTTGTTATTATGCTTCTTGTTAGTGTTGTTGTTGTTGTTGTTGTTGTTGGTGGTGGTGGTGGTGGTGTTATTTTTCTTATTCTTCTTCTTCTCATTATTCTTATTTTCTTCCCTTCCGATTCAATCGAAAGTGACGGGCAACGTGATGCAGATCATTTTGTGCGTGGGGAACATCGAGGGTCACGGGGGAGAGTTGCCCCGAAGGGGCCCTGCGCGGCTG